ACTTACATTAGAACAGCCTTTCTCAGCCAGGGTGCCTTGGCACCCTGGGAGGCTTTCTGGCTTTGTCAGGGTGCCTTCAAATTTTCACACAGTGTCTTTTCCATGGTGCGGGTGAATGGAAACGCATTATGCTAGTCCAGGGGGGACTCTAATGTAAAAGGGGGCTTCTGATGAGAAAGGAGGTCTTCTGGTGGGAAAGTGCAGGAAACGTTGCGGAGGAGGGAGCCGCTGTCACAGAACTAAGGTTGAGCGGTGAGGAGAGAGACGCTCGGCCAGGTTCTGTGACAGCGGCTCCCCAGTTATGAATTAACAGCATGTGATTTACATCACTTCCTGTTCATTCATGAGTTTCTCAATGGGGAGAAGCACTCTGTACAGAGGCTCTTCCCCAATCAATAACTGGATGATAGTAAAATATTTTCTGAATTAACTCCCTGCGTTCAGGGGCGGGAGGGGGTGTGGGGTTGTATTAGAGTCAATGGCACTGCAGCCATGCCCCGCGCCCACAGTGCGATTGCCCACACCAGGAACACAGGCACATTAGTGCCTGCATCCCGGTCCAGTGTGATCTGCAAAAATAGTGCTCGCAGCATTTTTGCGGATCGCACTGGACTGGAACACAGGCACTAATGTGCCTGGGTTCCGGGTGCAGGCGATCGCACTGTGAGCGAGGGGCCTGGCTGCTGGTGCTATTGACTTCAATGCACCGCCACGCTCCCTCCCCTACCTGAATGCAGGGGTTTTTTCGTTGGTAGATCTCATTGAGCTCGTCATTTGAAAAGTAGATCTCCAGACGAAAAATGGTGGGCGCCCCTGATTTAGACAATTATAGATGAAAATCAAAAAAGTAGTCTACATGCATTTTTGGTTACTGGTAATCCAGAGATACTCATTCTGAAGCAAGTAGTAGCAGAGATATGGGTAGAAGCGTCAAGTTCTCAATATGAAATCCTACCCAGTCAAATAACAAATCCTTTAAAGGAGAACTATGAGGTGAGTGCTTTTCACTCACCTCATAGTTCTAGCCGACCTGTGACAATTAGACTGTCACAGGTCAGCTCAGTAGATCGGGAGGTGAGCGAACACATACCGGCATTCGCTCACTTCTCGGTCCTGTCATGGCTCTCTCCCGTGACAGGGGAGGGACTGGATTCCCCCCTCCCCGCTCCGATCCTCCAGCGCTGACTGGCGGAACGGATAGGGGAGGGGGTGGCTACAGCTGGCTCTGCCTCTAGATAGGCAGAGCCAGCTGTCACTCACGCAGCTGGGCAGATCCAGACATAATTGTCGGAATCCGCTTCAGCTGCGGCGTCTCTGTATACTGCGAGCTGTAGCTATAAAAAAGAGAATTCGTATGAAACCGACATTGATGCCCACATCAATTATTCTGATTTTTTGTTTTATATTTGTATAAATTTAACTTAAAACCTGATTAGTTGCAAAGGGCAGCAGCTCCATTCTTCTGCTCATTTTTTTTATTTTCCATTTGTAATAAATATAAACGTTGTGCTGCTTCTTTAATATAGAATGTTAGCTAGAACTTATGCTTGAGCCCCATAAAGCTCATGGTTCTGTCTCACTTACCTCCTCCTTTCCTACAATAGTAAATGCTGCAGAATACTAGTAGTAAGACTAAGCACCAAGAATTTCTGCTTCGACGAATGTGTAGTAAATGTAAGTGGTATAATTTCTCACTGTTAATTACTAAACACCGTAGCTCAGGTGTTCCGACTCTAACATATAATTGCTGGGAGTATCCAGGCAACTGTGAAAGTGAGATGGCTAATGTATCATTGGCCATGAAGTGAGCATTAAACAGATACATATAATTTAATTGTTTTAACTTCGTTTGCAGGAAGGCGATCTCAGCTTTTAAAATGTCTAAACAGCCAGCGTCAAATGTCAAATCTATACAGGTACGTTTTAATTAAATGGGATGGAACAATACAACGTGAGATTTTCACTGCATGGCTTCAGCACTGGTCACATATTTCTATGTATATATTTGTTTTAGAAATACTGTAAGTAATGGGAATGTTTACGATGTACAAGTGAGATCTATATTACAGACTGCACGTGGGCAGTGAAAATTGCCTGTCCCCACACACAATCACAGTATGTGCTTTGCTGTGTTTTATTAATTTTAGACCATTGCCAATATTGCTTTTATGTTTGCTGGATAACTGAATTTTCCTTCAGTACTGATCATAGTTAAAGTGACAGCTCAGGAGTTAAATCTTAACAATGCAAATATGCATTCAAGTACCTTAACTATTCATAAAACTGTATCTTATTTGTGTATCACTCAGCTGTAGATCCTCAAATCATCTCTGAATTCATGCTGACACTATCCTTCCTTCTGTAGGGTGGCTACTTTTGTTCCCCATGGTCCCTGTGTGTGTTGTAAAGTAGCCACCGCTCCAAGCTCACTCCCATGATGGACTACAATCTCACTTTTAATTTTTCATCACGGAAGTGAGCTTGGAACAGATTTAATTCCTGAGTTTAGTGTCACTTAAAAGAGCTTTAGTAAGTAAAAACAAAACAAAAAGGAAAGTGCAGGAAGCCATAGCAACTCATCAGAAATCATCTGACACTAAATTAAGATAATTCTGTTATATCCAAATGTAAGAAAAATCCGGCAGTCCAGAATCAGTGTGAATTCTTTTCCATCCATGCCATTCCATCCATCAAGAAAACATATCAGAACAACAGTCCTAATGCATTTTACGCAGGCTTACACTTACCCATAGATTAAATGCCAGTCTGCGTGAAACACGTTAGTAGTGTTCTGAGATGTTTTCTGGATGTCGATGGATGGAATAAAGAGAATTCTCACTGATTCTGGAGTGACACAATTTTTCTACATTTGGATATTACTATGTTGCTAGTAGCGAGCCAGGAGTGCACCCAGGGAGCTGATTTATGGTGGAAAGACCTGGAGCAGCACCTGCTTTTGCTCTAAGAATAATTCAGATTGGCTGCTGTAGGTTGCTGTAGTAGGATGCGGCACAATACAACTGGCCTTGCACCAAGTTGTGCTCATAGAACCTAATAGAAATAATTTAGGCCCTGTTCACACCAAGGCGTAGCGGGGCTGTGCATTCCCGCAAGTTTGCTGGACTTTGTTTCCCGTGTTTGGCATGCATCCCCATTATTCCCTTTTGAGTCCCTGGACGTGCGCCAACTGTGGAGAACAAGTACAGGTTGTGAATTTGGCAACATGGGTTCCGAATTTTTCTTTGCCCATGAGAACGCACTGTGAAAAAACGCGTTTGCTCAGCCATATTTAGAGTGCCCTTACCTAGTAATGGCAACACAAGAACATTCCGCAGTTGTGCATGTATCATGAACGTGCATAGAAGTGCGTATTTTTGTGCATGTTTGACGCACGTTCATGATACGCCCTGGTGTGAATTAGGCTGATCAGTGCATCAGCACTGTGGCGGGCAACACACACCAGCAGCTTTGCATTTTATTGCAGCTGCTGGTGTTAATGGGCTGTTAAACAAACTTTTCTTTGCTGTCTAGAGGAGCCAATCATGTTTTTCCTTTTATTCCCCATTGCTCGCTATTGGTTTTATGGTTGTTTGTAATGTCTCTTTAAATGAACTTCATTGTAATGAGAACTTGTCCCTGCTATTACAACTCTTTACCTTAGCTAAAAAATCTCAATAAAATACAAGGGGGTTATAAGAGAGAAAATCCTGTTGTTTCATATCTGCTGTCCATGTGAACTTATAATGAAATATCTGCTATATGTCATATATATGGTATAACTCAATCACTGTATGCCTTTGTTTTTTAAATTATACCAAGTGTACCATGGAGGAAAGTTTAAAACCCAAGAGCGGTAATTGAGTTTCTTATGAAAGATGGTTGTTCGGCTGTTGAGATTCATACAAGCCTGAAGATTGTGTATGGTGATGCAGTCATTGTTAGGCATTTTGGTAAATATGTTTAAAAAATTGAGAAATTTAAATTATGGACAAGGCACTGAATGGTGCCATCCAAAGAAATTCAAATCTGCCAGATCAGCACAAATCTGTCAGATCAGGCATCATTTTTATGGTCACAACAGTAAAACCTTCTTTGTTACACTTTGAAAACTGACATAAGCCATCAGGCCATACAGCTAAATTATGATAATGTACACCTATACACTTCTTATGGCACCAGGTAGGTGATTGCCAAAATGGGACGGTCAGTGGCCCTTCATTCTCTCTATAACCCAGACATGGTACCATCTAACTTCTACTTGTTTGGGCGTATGAAGAATTACGAAAATATAACTAATTACTAAAGCAGTTGAGCAAAAAGTGCTTTGTAGATTTTTCCAAACTGGATTTGAGGTTTGGGTAATTCCAGGGCGCAAATCCATCGAACGTGATGGGAAATATGTGGAAGGGTAACTCTGAGTAGAAGAATTTATATTTACATACTGTGTGTGTGTTTATTGTTTCCATCTCTGCATAATTTAAGGTTCTATATCTTAAAAGGCATTTTTTTTGATACACCCTCATACGTGAACAATTCAGGAGCAATATTAATTTGCAGCTGGATTGTCATTGTACAGCAAAACTGTTTTTTTACTTTGCAGCTATAAAGAAAATTATCTTTCTGTTGCTGTGCTTAACAAGCATTCACCTCATCCCTGTTCTTAGAACCTTCCTAAATAAAAAGCTAAGAAGTGACAACATATCCTAAAATAGCCCCTTTTCTTAATAGTTTTTCCATATTTGCCTCTGCTACTTTGTATTTGAATTGGGACCCACAAGGCTAATAACAGAAAGATTATCCTTGCTAATTGTAGCACAGTTGCCAGTCAATTTTATTTCCCTCAGGAAAGCAGACGAGATGAAAATAAAAAAAACCCTGCAAAAGTTATCTTAAGCTGGTCTTAATTTCTGTGCTGCATTTTATAATAGATTTAAAGTGCAAATGCCTGCTGGGAAGAGAGAATGTGCTGCTTGTTTTTTTATAATAATTATAGATAAAGGGGGCCTTAGACTCACATTGGAAAATCAACATTTTCCTATATTATTTGGGTAACCCTTCCATGCCCAGGGGTATAACTAGAAAGCAATGAGACCAATAGCAACATATTGATGGGGATCTGAAGCAAAAAGAAAAAGTGCAACAGCTTTTAGCCTGTACCATCTTCTGGCTACCACTACTGATAAAATAGGAGGTTATAGGTAAATGCTATAGGGTAGGATGGGGCATGGTATATTAAGATATCCTACCGACAAAGGATATGATTGGAAGATATCCCTTGGCACCACCTAATCAGGCAAATGTCCCAGCGGCAGAGGACTGACCTGTCAAATACCCTGTTGGCCCTGGATATAACAGGAAATTCAACCTGATACAAGTAAAAACCTAAGCAGAGATTAACTTTGTGTGTGTGTATATGTATTGTGGTATTGTGTGGCAATCCCACTGTAGAACTGGATGTGATGATCACCGGGGACTCTCAGCCAGATGGGCTGAGATGTGTCAGGAAGCAAGGGATTGTCTGGAATCTGCTTGGGATTCTGGAACTGGGAGGTTTCAAGGTGATTCTGGAGGAAAGATGAGATCCCTAGTCCTGGGTCCAGGCTTTAGCAGTGGCCAGCACTCGATAACTGCACAGGTGTGCAGAGCCATTAAGAAAAGGATGTTGGCTAGGGGAATTAGCTCCTTCTGGGAAAGAGTAACAGACCGTGTTCAGGTGTCAGGAGAACTCCCCCAGAAGTCAGCGAGGAGTCAGGTGGTGAGTGGGCTGGAGGCACACTAAGACAGCCAGGGAGGCTGGGAGAAAACTGGTGAGGCTAGGAGAGCCGTGAGCCTGAGGGGCCACCAGTACAAGTGTGGGATAGCAATTCAAAGAGGACCAGTGGGTCAGAAGTGCCAATGTTTAAAGTGGAAGCCAGGAGGCTATTCTTGTGTTGCTTTAAAGCCTTTCATGAATGTTACACTGAACAACCACTGCGTAGGTATCCAAGATGGATATATGAACTTTGTGTTGAATAAAAGTGGGCTACCAAGCCCTTAAACCAAAGATATTGCGAGTAGACTGCATTCTTAAGCGCTCACCCTATGTGCTAATATCCCCGAACATCACAGTATACAGTGTGTATATATATATAGATATATATATCTATATATATATCTATATAACAGTTAAAAAAAAAGATTGGTTCTAGAGTGCTATTGACTATGTAGCTCTTACACTGTTTTTAGAAGCACTGACAGATGATATTGTTCATCAGGCTAACCTAAATATCCCTATGGGAGCATTCCGACCTGGTGCTGGGCAGCCACCTAAAAGAAGAGAATTGTCACCTGAAGCAGAACAGGTAAGACTGCAAAGCAGTTAAACATATTTGCTGCCTAAAAAAATTGTATTTATAGTTTTGGTAAAATATGACACAATGTAAAGCATATTATTGATAACTGTTATACAAATTATTGTCTATTTTATTGCTAAATTTTGTATATGCCAAAAAAATCTACTTTCTTCTCTTTGAACCATAGCAATTCTTATGACTTGTAGTCAGTATTTTTCAGAATGTTTACACCATGTACCAGTTCATTACAACAGTGTCTTGTTGGGGATATATATCTGTCCTCAGCCGCCACCATCTCTGCTGCTGACACTTTGGGGTTCTTTGAAGTCCTCTTCATCCACTGGGTGGTCACTGATGACATAACTCCTGTACATGCACACAGGAGTTACAACCTCCATGGCACCTGGCTGATTCAAAACATCTTAGAGCGAAGAAAGGTTTGAGTGTGTGCACTGTACAGCACATGTGCCGTATGGTGTACACAAAAAATAAATAACCGCTAGCATAGAGAGGAAGAATTTTTTTGACAGGATAGACTTTGTATGTCTCTTCTGCCAAAAATCACTACCTCCCAGTCTTTTAAAAAAATGTTCCCCTTTTTTTAACTACTTTAATGGCACATGAATGACTGCCATTGTAAACTTTACATTTTGAAAATTGAGTTTCAGACAGAAAACAGAAACTTTTTTTCTATAATGTTTTTGATAAATATCTTTATTTATGCCAACACACAGAAATACAATAAAGTACTGCCAAAGTGTGCAAACAATGTCTCAAGTATTTTTACAATAGAAAGTTGTGGTAACAGGTAGAGAAGGTTGTGCAAACTGGTACTAGGCGGTGCCACTCATCAGGTAGTAAGTAAAATACACAGATGTGTGAGCTTAAAAGCTCTAACATCAATAAACCAATACACAGAATGGCCAAGCTCAGGCCGGAGTCAAAAGGATTCAGAAACAGAAAGACAAATGAGTCCCCCCTAGATACAAGAGTATGGTACAATAGTGTGTAAGTACAAATAGTGTGATATATCTGGAAGCTGGGCAAGCAAATCATGAGTTATAGTAGATCCAAGTAGCCCATTTAGTGTAGAGCTTGTCATATGTGCCTTTTACATGTAGCCACCCATTGTTCTGATTCCTGGATTCCTGAATATCATTTACCTTATTAACCTAGTTCATTCTAGTGGGTACCTTGGTCTGCTTACAAAATATGGGAATTAACTTCCTTGCTGCATTGAGGAGGTGTGGTAGTACACTATTCTAATAATAGTTCATGGAGATCATAGGAGTTTTACATAGTTACATAGTTACATAGTATTGAGGTTGAATAAAGACATATGTCCATCAAGTCCAACCTATTTGTGTATGGTCCTATTGGTGTGTAGTATGTATAGGTCCCTTGTGTGTTATCAATTTTAAGAGTACTTGTACCCCTGTATATTACGGTCCCTGAGGAAATCATCCAATTGCCTCTTAAATGATTCAACACTTTCAGCCGAAATCACAGCATGTGGCAGCGAGTTCCATACCTTAACCGATCTAACTGAGAAGAACCCCCTTCGCCCCTTGTGCTGACATTTTTTCTCCACCAATTTTAAGTGGTGGCCTCTCGTCCTTGTCATCGAGTTAATTGTAAAAAGTTTGCTGCTAATGTTACTATCCCTGGTAAACATTTTATACATGAAAATCATGTCCTCCCTTAACCTCCTTACTTCCAAGGAGAACATGTTTAATTTTAGAAGCCTGTTCTCATAACTCAGGTTCTCCATCCCCTTTATGATTTTGGTTGCCCTCCTCTGGACCCTCTCCAGTTCAAGGACATCCCCCCTGTTCACTGGTGCCCAAAACTGGACCGCATACTCCAGATGTGGCCGAACCAGTGATCTATAAAGTGGCATAATTACGGACTTGTCCCTGCAAAACATTCCCCTCTACTTGCTTTGTTTACCGCAGCCTGACACTGCAAACTATTTTTCAGCCTGTGGTCTACAATGACCCCCAAATCTGTTTCCCTTTCGGATTTTCCGAGGGGAGCTCCCATTAGTGTGTAATCCATTTTCTTGTTTTTAACCCCAAAGTGCACAACTCTACATTTATCCAAATTAAACCTCATCTGCCATGTGGTTGCCCACTCCCCTATTTTATCCAGATGCCCCTGTAATGTTATAGCGACAGATTCAGTGACTATTCCCCTCCCGATTTTGGTATCATCGGCAAACACTGAAACATGGCTGTTTACCCCCTCCCCAATATCGTTAATGAATAGATTAAACAGCATGGGGCCCAGCACAGACCCCTGCGGAATGCCGCTCATGACCCTAGCCCAATCCGAGAAGGTGCCATTTATCGATACTATTTGTACCCGTTCCTTTAGCCAGTTCTCTATCCATGTACACATTAATTTGTCTATACCCATAGACCTCAGCTTGTATAGTAAACGTTTTATGAGGTACTGTGTCAAATGCTTTAGGAAAGTCCAAGTATACCACATCCACCGGCCTCCCTCCGTCCAGATCTTAACTTACCTCTTCGTAAAAAGTAAGCAGGTTAGTCTGACAAGAACGGTCTTTCCGAAATCCATGCTGGTTGTCATTTACTATGCCATTATCCCGATCAAATTCTACTAGGTGGTCCTTAATCATTCCCTCTAACACTTTACAAACCATCGATGTAAGACTAACTGGTCTGTAATTTCCCGGATGGCGTCTGGACCCTTTTTTGAATATTGGAACTACCGTAGCCCTCCGCCAGTCAATTGGCACTCTGCCAGTCATTAAGGAATCTTTAAAAATGATGAATAGCGGTCCTGCTATAACCTGGTTTAGTTCTTTAAGTACCTTGGGGTGTAAGTACCTTGGGGTGTAGGTTATCTGGTCCTAATGCTTTATTTGCATTAAGTTGTTCTAGTCTGTTTTTTTTTGTTAACCACTGTGGAATATTTTGCAATGAACTATGTGCATTCTTATCTACATTAAACCCGTCTTTTTCCTGAGTGTATACTGATGAGAAAAAGGTATTCAATGTCTCGGCCCTCTCCCTGTCGTTTGTGACTAACTCCCCTTTATCATCCATTAACCTCCCTGGCGGTATGATTATGTCAGGAATTTTGTACCAAAAGCGGTACAATTTTTTGCATGGAAATTTGTTGTTTAATCCAATGACATCCCTTCCGTCTTATATTTTATAAATGACAATCTCTTGTCCTTGATGAGTTGCTTTACCGATCTATTTATCCATACCGGCTTTGATCTTTTAATTTTGTTCCACAAAGGTATACACTTGGTAATTTCCTTATGTAGTGTGTTCTTAAAACATTCCCACTTCTGGTCAGTGCTCAGTTTCTGAAATACATTTTCCCATTCGATTTCACCCATGATCTGGCGCAGCTTATCGAAGTTAGCCTTCCTGAAGTTTAGGGTTTTTGTCCGACCAGCCGCCTTCCCGTTTCTATACCCAATATTGAAGGTAATCACATAGTGATCACTGTTACCCAGTGTCGCCCCAATTGCAATATCCTTAATTAACTCCCCATTATTAGAAATGTTTAAATCTAGGATTGCATTTTTCCTAGTTGGGACCTCCACCATCTGATCCATGAAGTTGTCTCGCAACATGTTCAGAAAACGGGCTGCATTTGACGAAAGGGATGTTCCGCTTGCCCAGTTTATGTCTGGATAATTGAAGTCACCCATAACGATGACATTACCCTGCTTCCCAGCTGTTTCTATCTGGCAGTGTAGCTGAGCCTCCTCCTCCCCCCCTATATTTGGAGGTTTATAACAGACTCCAACAATAAGTTTACGGCTGGCCTCCGACCTGTCAAGTTCTAGCCACAGCTATTCCACGTCTTCCCCGCCATTTAACGCTATGTCATCCCTTATGTGCACCCTTAAATTATTTTTTACATAAATGCAAACACCCCCCCTTCTCCCACACCTGTCCCTCCTGAACACGTTGTACCCTTCTATGTTAGTGGCCCAGTCATGTGTGTTATCTAGCCAGGTTTCCGTTATTCCCACTATATCGAAGTTTTCTTCGAGTATCATAATTTCTAGCTCTTCTACTTTATTTGCAAGGCTTCTAGCATTGGTGTACATACATTTAATTTTTGACCTACTTTTGGAATACAAAGTATTATCCGGCTCTCCTCTACGTTTTTTATTTTGCCTAGCTATAGGGGGATCATTTCTAATATGTTTAACTTCGCCCATATAAGTTGCTATGTTTACTGCCTTATTTCTGTTGATTTTATTGTTGAACTTGTTGTTATTGTCATTGTTATTGACTGTAGTGAGTCCCCTGTTATCTCCTGTATTCCTCTTTACTGTATTCTCCAAAGATATAAAGGAGACAAGTAAATATACAGAATAGTGTGAATCTTCAGGCGAGCCTGAAAGCAACATCATCAGGGCACACGACATTGTTTCATTGTACAAGTTTAAGCCCAACATCGATCGGCGCCCATTGCAGAACATACGGCCTAGATCAGCTGTGCTGACACTGTCCCGTCGGGGACCTGTCTCTATTTGCCACTTGGTGCAGAGACCGTGCGCATCACAAGTATGTTCGGGTGGCGTCCCTCCCAAACGGGCTCGCTGTGCTTCGCAGGTTGCTGCTATACCCATATAGATGCTGTGCATCGCTAGTTGCTAAAATGGACCAGGTGTGACAGAAGAAGGAGAACAGCCTGAGGGTCAGGGAAAGGTAGGGAAAGTCAGAGGATGAAGGGGGGGGGCGGGGGGGGGGTGTGTGTCTCTCCTAACCCCCTTCCTGCCTTGCGTCTATGTCTCCCTGCGGGTGGTTCAGTGAGAAAGGGCTGCCTGAAAACCAGTTGAGTTTCTAAAATCAATCCAAACTGACCAGGTGCGGACATACCGGTCCCCAGTTTCGTTTTCTCCGGACATTACATTTTCCAGATCCGCAATACGGTCCAGCTCCACTACCCATTCCGCGAGGGTGGGGACCACCGGAGTACGCCAGTGACGCGGTATAACCGCCCTGGCTGCC